AGTTAGTGTAAAAGAAATAAATAAATGAAGTGTTTCAAAAGTTATAAAAATGAAAGTAACATAAAAGAAAAATTAAAAAATGCAACAAAAAAAAGTCCCCCGCCCCACACGAGCAAACACGCGTCAGTGCATCTACGTGCTAAAAGGACAATTGCGCTACACATCTTACATGTCGCCGTGAACGTCACAGTGAGAGCAATAATCTAGCGCTGTCAATGACTGTTAGCACTGAACTGATGAGTGGTAAAAGCGTTTAAAATGTTCCCTATGGGAAATTTGGGGTATTGACTTTTTTTTGCGACTACACGGGCGAACGCAATTTTAAGGCTTGACATGTTTGGTATCTATTTACCCCGCGTGACCCCGTCTTTCATATTTTACAAAAGAATTGGGTATTATATTCTGTTTCTCTGCACTAAATTTTAATGTAGTTTATTTTCTCCTAAAAATACGGTTTTGTATAAAATATAAACTTCTGTGCAAATGTTTCATGTGTGCGCAAATAGTAAGAAAATGCCCCGGACAGCAAGTGGTTAAAATAACACACCCAAAACATTATTTTTTTCTATTTTTAATTTCAGTTTCTTAAACTTTTTTTTTATTTGTTGGCATTTTTAATTTTAGTTTAACTTTTTTTTTTTTTTTTAAACTTTTTAAACTTTTTTTTTTTTTTAACTTTATTGCTTGGTGCAATACCCAGCCTGCTATTGGATATTTCAGATTGCAATAGCAGGCTGGCTATTGCACCTGTCCACTGCCTTCTGTCAATCAGCAAAGGAGGGGCCTGAAGGAGAAAGTTCTCTATCAGGTCCTCCCGTGCTGATTTACAGCAGGCAGTGGGCGGGTGCAATAGCCAGCCTGCTATTGGCTGTTGCATTTTAAAATATCCAATAGCAGGCTGGGTATGGCTCACAGCCTGCAGATGTAGAGGAGGCGGGGCAGGGGAGAGACGGCTGGACCAGGGGGGATTGTAGCTGATGTAAATGTGCAACTGTGTACATTTTCGGCGCTATATAAATACTAGGGTGCTTTTGGAAATGCAATCACCGTTCTTACGGCCCTTGGGCATCTTTCTTGCCTAAGCTTGAATGATCACGCCGCAGACATTTCTGGTACTGGCTTACTTTGGTGGTGCTTTGGGGGAAGGGAATGTGATGACTGCACTCCCCCATCCCCCACTGCCCTTCCCCCAAGGTGAGCCTTGGCAAGCAATATCTACTGGTGAAATTAGATCTTCACCCATACCTGAGAGAAACTGGTATTTGTGGACACCCTGTGCCAAACCCCTGCAGCAATTAGTTGAGCTGCTGCAGGTCACAAGGGGCATGAAAAATTGGGTGATTTAAAAAAGATTGAATTTGTTTAAAGAGAGCCATTTAGAGAGAGAGAGTCTATCTGGAAACGAGCAGGACAAAATAGTAAACCTCTCGTTGCAGAATAGTATATTAGTTGGCAAGGTCTCATTTAGTTGTATTAGAGGGACCGTTGTTGCAGCATTCCATTCGAATAGTAGAGGACAGTTGCCGTATTACTCCTGAACACAATTTAAACAGTTTTACCACAATTATGACTGAGCTTCTAGTGTAGTCAAGCCGCAGGGATAGTTCAAAGATCTGCCAAGTCACCTGATTTGCCTGGCTTCAGAATCAATGGGCATATGATTGGCAGCACCAATCTTGTTGATAAATGGCTGGCTCTAAAAATTTAAATGAAGAATCCAAGTGATTCAGGCTTAGAATAACAGAATCCATCAGCAGTCAAACATGTTTTCAATGTTGCTAGCAGTTGCAATGCCGTTTTTTTTTTAATTTACTCTGCATAGAATTGTCAAATCAGTTATTTTGTCTAGGAAGTGTATGTATCTTTGACCGGCTATTGCACCCGCCCACTGCTTGCTGTACCTTGTCCCAGCGTGCAGGAGAGATCTAGGGGATACAACCAAGTAATTGATAATAAGTATACATTAAATCCCCCTACCTACATACCAGGGGTATGGCCCTACAGCTGTGGTGGAACTACAAATTCCATGAGGCATTGCAAGATTGTCATAGACATGACTCCTGGAGAGAGATGCATCATGGGATTTGTAGTTTCACCACAGCTGGGGGGCCGGAGTTTGGCTACCCCTGCTACATACATTCAGGTTACAAACTTTCAAGGATGCAAACATTTGTTTGTATGTCCAACCATGTAAGTTAGTTTACATGTCTGTGTGTGTGTCCTTTCTGTGGGTGTGTGTGTCTTTTTTGTGTGTGTACTTTACAGTATAGAGTACAGTATCTTTATTTCACGCTCAGGGTGTCCGGAAGCAAGTGTAAAAGCAGCAGTAGTTTAGCTGGACACCTAGGCTAATTTTGTTGGACTTGCAAACAAATTGGATTTAAGCACATGCTCTTGGAATGAAACCTGTTCGTAAGTAGGGGACTTACTGTTGACAACTATTCTCATTATCGATTAATTGGTTGGTTGCAGCCCTAGTGATAATGTCGCCACTGCTTTTACAATGTAATATATCGTTTTGCAAAGGCATTTGGAGCACACAGTTGATTTCTATTCCCTGGGTTTTGTGTTTTTTTTTTTTTTTTAATTTGTCTGTTTTAAGGAAAACAAACTCCTATTTAGTTCAGTGTTTTTTTTTTTTTTTGTTTTGTTTAATTTTAATTTTCTTTTTTTTCTTTTTTGTAGGTAATCTGCATAGTTTCACAGAAGACAAAAATAGTTCTCTTCCAAAGAAGGCAGATCATGACGGCAAAAAATCTACGGGCACATTACCTTCAGGCCTTTCTACAAAATCCTGCAACAGCAGCAAGCAACCTGTGGAATCGCTCATCTCTAGTTTTGCCGCAGAGACAGATAACTGGGATTCAGATCTCTCTCCAAAAAGGTCAGACTCTCCAGGACAAAAGGAACATACCACAAGCTCTCAGAAGCTGTTACTGTACGATTGGGATGAACTGACAGAAGACCATTCGTATATTCCCAACTTTGATTTAAATGACGATGAAGATAGTCCTTTGGAACCCAAAGCAGAAGAAGATGGCCAGTGTGCTGAAGAACAAATTGAAAATCCCGAAGAGCAAACTAGCGAGGATGTGGTCCAAGGTGGTGTCAAACTTGGTAATTGTAGGACATATTGTAGATCTAACAAGACGACAAAGTCTTCACAAGGTTCATCCAGTTTCGACAGACTTTTAGATGGCTCAAGTTTTTCAACGGCCAAATCTAACAATGCCACAGAAAGGGCAAACACTGTGAATAGAAGCAGTGGGACCAATACCACTGGGCGGACTAGAGATTATACAGTTCTGCATCCATCTTGTCTCTCAGTATGTAATGTTACCATTCAGGATAGCATGGAACGCGGTACAGATGAGTTCACTGCAAGCCCTTCAACAGATTTAGGGGAAGCAGGGCGTCTTAGAAAGAAAGCTGACATTGCCACCGCAAAAACAACCACAAGATTTCGTCCTGGCAATACCAAGTCCAAAAAAGATGCCAAATTGGAGTTCTTCGGTTTTGATGACCAAGACGATGGCTGCAGTGATGAAGGAGGCTCTAAGCCATTTGGGCAGTCAAGCTATAGAATTAAATATTTTGGTTTTGATGACTTAAGTGAAAGTGATGATGATGAAGATGACGATGGCTGGCATCCAAAAGAAAGGAAGTCGAAGAAGAAACCAATGAGTGCAGAGTACACATTACTGTCTGACATGCCAAGCTCAGGAGTTAATAAACATGTGCAAAATATTGACTCTTCAAATATTGGTAAGAATGTATTTATTTTAAATGTTTTGTGTGTTTTTTTTTTTTTTTTTTGTACTATTTTTTTTTTGGGTGGGGTTATGTACACAAAATGTAAAATCAGGTGAAGTGTTTTATTGAAAAAATATATTGAAAGCAAAATGCAAATTTTACAGAGAAAAAGCCCACCATTCAAACAGGCACCAGTACAGACCCCAGCAAAGACGAAGGTAAGTGACTCATTTGTTATTCCTGCATTGGTCTTTACTAGGTGGTGGGCTCACACTTTATCTGTGTCTTCTGGATCTTACTTAATCATCTTTGCGTTTATGATCTGCAGTCTACAATGATGTTTTTCAGACCTTCAGGGGGTCTATGTAGTTTGTATCAAGCTGTTGAGTAATAGAAGCTATTTTCTGCATCATTCCATTTTTAATTTACTTCATGAAGTCTTTATGGCTGTAGCTTAACCTCTTGCCGTCCGCCCGTAGTAAAAAAACGGACGGACGGCACTGCTGCATCTGCGGGTTGCCGTCTCCAGACGGCAATTTTTTATTAATCCACCTAGTTATAGTTGTGTGCAGCAAATGGTAATGCAGTGGGAATAGAAGATTCTACTGAAGCCTGTGGAAAAATCATACCGATCCGTAGTTCAGGGAGGGTAAAGAGACCGATTTTAAAAGGGGAAAAAAAAGAAGATATGCTTCACTTAAAAATCGTGATTTTTTTTATGGTTTCAGTAAAACGTGGTTTCCCCAGTGCACTTCGTGATCACAGCTGTAAGCAAATATCCTAATTATTTTATGTCTCATTTCCATTGTCGGTACCAGTAAAAAAAGCAGAGAAAGTACAATTAAAAATTTACATAATAAAACAAAGCATCTTTCCACTTTTACGGCCAGGTTAGGATAACGGTTATCTTTTTCCATTAACACAGCATCACTTAATTATTTAAGAATTGCTGCTTATATTTTTACTTGGAAAAACCTCTCACTTTTCCTCTTCTACTTAATGTTAAGGAGGGTTGCAGGGTTATGTTATGTTTTCCACAATTAAAGGAGAACTATGAGGTTAGTGCTTTTCACTCACCTCATAGTTCTAGCCGACCTGTGACAATGAGACTGTCACAGGCCGGCTCAGTAGATAGGGAGGTGAGCGAACACATACAGGCGTTCGCTCACCTCTCGATCCTGTCACGGCTCTCTGCCGTGACAGGGGGAGGGGCTGGATTCCCCCCTCCCCGCTCCGATCTGCCAGCGCTGACTGGCGGAACGGACGGGGGAGGGGGTGGGTACACGCAGCTGGGTGGATCCCGGCACAATTCTCGGGATCCGCTGCAGCGTCGCAGTTTACCGCGAGCTACAGCTCGCGGTATACTGAGCCTAGGGTGACGGGAGGACGCTAGTTTGTGTCCTCCAGTTACCCGAAGGAGAACTATGGGAAAAAGCCTTAACCCCATAGTTCTCCATTTAAACCTGTCTGTAATGTGCTGGCAGATCATTATCAGTTGTAAATTAAACATACAAAGTGTTAAAGATCTCAAGGCACTTAATATCGTCCCTCAATCTGTCCCATAATTGCACATTGCAATATATTTTAATCAGTAGAAGCTACATAGAGTCCTGTGTATGAACCTACTCTAAAGAAACAAGTAGAAATGTAAAAAATATTTTACAAAATAAAAGTTATCGCAGTCCATTCATTCATTCATTCCTGGTGAAAACAAGCTGCAGCAGCAAGGAAAAGGAAAGTTTGTAATATTTTAACCTTTTTCACACGTCAGGGCAGGCCATCTTTCAATATTCAGCGCTGCGGTACTTTGACATTTATTCCGTCATGCAACGCTGTACTGAAATACATTTTATACAATTTTTTGGGCACAGATAGAGCTTTCTTTTGATGGTATTTAATCACCACTGGGGTTTTATTTTGTACTATATTAAGGAAAAAGTATTGAAAATGTTGAAAAAAAAAAAGTTAATTTTTTCATTATCAATTATTATTACCAATATTTTTGGTAAAATATAAAAGTCGGGGTCACGTCGGGTGAATAGACACCAAACATGTCAAGCTTTAAAATTGCGCGCACCCGCGAAGTTGCAAAAAAACTACCATACCCAAAATTGACCATAGGCGACGCTTTAAAAGCTTTTACCGCTCATCAGTTTAGTGTAGGGGCTGCCAAACTCCGGCCCTCCAGCGGTTGTGGAACTACAAATCCCATGAGGCATTGCGAGATTCTCAGACATGTCTCCCGGAGAGAGATGCATCATGGGATTTGTAGTTCCACCACAGCTGGAGGGCCGCAGTTTGGCTACCCCTGGTTTAGTGTTATCAGTGATTGATGGCCCTAGAATTATAGCTTTCATTCCGACTTTCGCGACGATATGTAACATGTGCGGCATAATGGGCGCAATCATCGTTTTCGTGACGTATGCGCACCCAACGCCTGTTTGCACGCGTGTATGCATGGGGAGGAACTTTATTTTTTAAAAAAAATGTATTCTTTTTTTATGTGTAATTTTAAATTTTTTGGGGGGAAACTTTAATTTTTTTCCTATTTTTTTTTTTTTCCACTTAACTTTATTGCTATCACATAGGGGGCTAAGAAATCCCCTTATGTGATAGCAAAAGAAGTGACAGGCCCTCTTTATGGAGACATCAGGGGTCTCCAAGATCCCTAATGTAACCTAGGACCCCGAAGAAGCTGATTAAGCAGAGATCTGCTTCATCAGCTTCTCTCCAGCATCTGAAGCTGGAGAGTGACACAAGAATGTGGAAGTGATGTAATATACATCAGTTCTGCATTCTGACAGCGGAGAGGGGACCGGAGGGAGTTTGTGTACCGATCTCCCTCTGATTCCCTGTCAGAGTGGCACTATGCTGGTCCCGGGCACAGCGGAGCCCGGGACCAGCGTGACAGCGGGAGTGAGCCGCGGAGGGGGGCGTACGTAACGGGACCTCCATACAAGCGATCCGCAGGCTCTACAGCCGGCGGATCGCTTATATGTTAACAGGCATCGCTGCCTGTTTTAAAAATGGGACATTTCCCGCTCGCGCGGGCATGGCTGAGCGGCAGTCTAAAGACGCCCGCTGAGATCTAGAGAGCTCCTGGCCGGCCGTTTTTTTCTTTTTTTTTTTTTTTACAAAGGATGGCCAGGAAGTGGTTAAAGGAGAACTAAGAGGCGAGTGAAAAAATCACTTAGCCTCATAGTGCTAGCCGACCCGTGACGATGAAACTGTCACAGGTCGGCTCAATAGATCGGGAAGTGAGCGAACACATACCATCGCTCGCTCACTTCTCGATCTATCTTTGCAGAGAGCCGTGACTGTAACTCACGGCTCCCTGCAGGTATTCCTCCCCTGTCCGATCCTCCAGCGCTGACTGGCGGAACGGACGGGGGATGGGGCGGGTACAGCTAGCTCTGCCTCTGGATAGGCAGAGCCAGCTGTCAATCCCGCAGCTGGGTGGATCTCGACAGTAAAGTCGGGATCCGTCCCGGCTGCGGTGTCTCAGTATACCGCAAGCTGTATACTGAGCTTTGGGTGACGGGGACGCTTGTTTGTGTCCTCCCGTTACCCTTAGGAGAACTATGGGGAAAAGCCCTGGCCCCATAGTTCTGCTTTAACCGCTTCATCTCCATCCTCCCACTGTATGTGACCTGAACATTAAGGCCTTCCCTTTGTATAACTTGTACATTTAACTTATCTCGGAACAGTCCCTTCCCCACCCCCCCTTTTTTTTTAATATAGTAAAACATTAAAAAAGGTGTTCTTAAATACCACTAAAATAAAGCTTTAAAATATGTAAATATAAATAAAGAGGCATATTTAATTAGGGTCCAGTGTTGCGTGACTGAGTAATTCTCAGTCAAACTGAAGCATGGCCTGCTCCTGATGCCTTAAATCTCAGCTGCAGATTTAAGGCTGTGAGGCTTTAGGTACAGGAATCACATGGCTTTATTTCAGGAAGAATTCAAGACAAAAATACTGATTTTCTATGGTGGTACTTGGGGCACAATTAAGATTTGGTATCTAATATGCAACATGTGGAAATGTTAACTTTGCGTTCAGGCCCACTTTTAAAGTGGAAGTAAAGTGCCTTCATTGAAAAATTATTGAGAGGCAGGTTCTTGTTTTTTTATATAGCAGAAGAGACATCTCTTCTGCCAAAAAATTTCTGCCTTCCTGTCGGCTATTTCTTTTTTTCTGTGCACTGAGCCCCATATGCACAGCTCCGTGCACAGACTCAGCATGCTGCGATAAAATAACTCCTGTGCACATTCACGGGAGTTGCATCATGCCGTCCAGCCAATCAAGAGGCCGAAGATGTCCAAACTGGAAGAAAATGGCACTTTCAGCAACGGAGGGGAGAGTGGGCAGCGTTGGAGGGGATCGCTTTGCAAGGTAAGTTGATGATGATGTGCTATTATGCTGCTTTTTTACAAACTCTTTACTTCCACTTTGAGCTTTACCCGTCATGAAAAAAAAGTAGGGAAACTGCTATTGCTGACCACCTTCAAACCATGCTAGAATCCCGGCTGTGTTTTGGCTTCAGTACTTTTTAGTCATCCGCCTGGGACAAACATGTAGTGAATGTAAGAACTACTTATATCTATACTTGTCCCTGTTCAGTGGATCAGAGAGCATTGAAGTCGAAGACTCAGCATGATAGCCAGGTAACATTCTGAAAAACCAGCACTGGAGTTCTCCAGAAGTTCACTACAGAAGAGTTTAAAGTGTATCTAAACTAAAGAACACAAACTTAATAGTCCTTAGATGTGATGGCTGCATTAGTTTTCTATTTTCAGACTTTGTTCTGTAAGTACAGAGGAATGCCTGCTGAATGTAAAGGAAATGCAGCATCTTTGTAACTGCCTGTGCACTGGAAATCTCCATATCGGCTCTCACTTCTGTGAGCTATCAAATTCCCCATGTTATGGAGAGGGGACACGAGTTTGTAGCCCAAATGTAGAGACCAGCTTAGGGTGACAATGCTGATCTGCATAGATACTGGCAGAATCAAAACTAATGCAACCACCACATCTAAGGACTGGTAGGCTCAATATAATCTTAGTTTTTAAGTTGAAATACACTTTATTTACTCTGGAAATGTGCGCGATGTGATGAGAAGGAACACCTTTTACCTGATTTATACCATCTTGCTGTATGCTGCAGTGTAGATGTCCAGGTACAGATCTGCTACACTTTCTGACTACAGCCCTGCCATAATAAGTTTTGTTTGCCTGTTTTCTTCTAGTACTGTGCCGACACCCTGCCTCAAATAATAAGAGAAGGTTGGGGATTCTTCCTGACATAACTCTCGGAGCTGTTCAGTTAAATTAAGTTAGCAACATAGATTAAACATGAGAAATAATTTAAAATGATTCCAGTGCAGGTGGCCCTTTTGTATGTGTCTATTAATGTACTCCCCCACCTCTATTGGAATCATACTCAAACTCTTTTGATTGACTGGAGCATGGTTAAATGCTTTTCAGGCAAGTCAAAAGTTCAGTCCAAAGTTCACCCCACTAGTCATCTTTCAGCTAGCGAGTTTCTTGGCTCAGACAGTAGGTAACCTATCCCAGAATTAGTGAAACTCCATGCCAGGTTTTTCTTTTCTTGCACAGTGGCAGTGCTTTCAATGTTAGCTGCCCAAAACTACAAGCACTGGCTCTTTCTTAAAATTTATTTAGATAATCATGATAATGTTATGTTAAACATTCAACAATTCATGAAGTACCTATAGGAGCTGATTTACCTGTCCAAAGGATATCTCTTTTTTGATATGCGGTCCTGTGATTTACTTAAACCTACCAGACAGCAGAACTAGGTTGGTGAACTGACTTTAGCTACTTATCTACCTGTTTTTATTAACCGCGGCAGAGTAGTCTCTGTCCCCAGCCTTTGATTGGACCACAGCCGGAATGAGCTGATTCCTCTTCACTCCTGCATGCAGGACACTTAATTGACCCTTTTTGTTGTGATACAAGTTAACGTTCTGTTTTTTGGCTTTTTTTACTAGCTACATCTAAACATTTTTATGTTTTTGATCTGATTGGAGTTCGGCTCTGATTTAATCCCACTGGAGGACAGTTTCTGCTTCATAGCGGTCTTGCCATTTGCTGGCCTTTTTCACTTAAATTTTTTTTTAAAGTATAGTATAAAGTGAAGCAGTTACCCCTTGAATGTATTGGTTAAATGGTCCATGCATTATGTTACCACACACCACTTTCTTTGTCTTGGAGCCTTGTTGTATGTTTGGCTCTTTTTTACATGGAGACATTCCATGTCTCAATGCTTTCTATGTACTTGCATTTAATATCCGTATTGTAAGCTTTTTTTATGTTTTGAAATACTTTAGATTCTGGAGATGATATGTATGCTGTACCTGAAGTCTTCAAAAAGCCTGCAAGTAGATCAGGAGATAAAGGCAAAGATGGCGCTCGAAAAATATTCAGTGGACCAAAACGGGTAAAATCTCTTTCCTTTGATTCCCATTGGCTGCATGTTGGCATCCTGATTGTTTATACTGAAAGTGTGTGTTGTTTTTTAACTCTACATTACAGGACACAGGCTCCAATGGTGGCCATACTTTGTACGATTTTCCTTTGGAAATCGTGCATGAACGGTCTCTGAAAACCAAACAGTTGGTGGTACATCACCGATTTATCGCTTTTGATATTGTGCTAAAAAAATTTCGGTCATTTTCTCTGACCAAACGAAATCAATCAGTGGGGTTTTCGTTCGTCAAAAATTTTAGCCAGAACACAGCACATGCATAAAAGGAAATTATTTTCATCGTTTCATCATCAAAAATTGGTTGGCGATTTTCTGAAATCAACATTTGAATATGCTTAATGGGGAAGTCTAAGTATGATCGAACGAGGGTTCATGGCAGAAGCATTTTTAAGCGAAGATGTGCTAGTATATGTATGGCCACCTTAAGTCTTCGATAATTAGACTATGCAGCTACCTTCAGGTGATTAGCCACTGGCAAACAAAGCTGTAAGGACAGTCCCAGCAAGCCTCAGTTTCTGCTGGTGTTTTTATGTGAGCTGATATCTTCGATATGCAGAAAACTTTTTTTTTTTTTTTTTTAGATTCTCTGCTACCTCATAGCAATTGCAGCTTATTTTGTAGCCTCTGGATCGGTTGAATCTTTAACTTTGCTTTGGGGGTTGTGCCCAGACCCCATCTAGAAGAAAATTGGGGCCATCCTGTATTACTTTCAACACTGGTTCCTGTCTAAAGGTGCTCACTAATGCACTTAGTGCAGCACCATGGTTTGGCATGCAGGGTGCTATTCAGATCCAAGGTCATGGTCCATCTACCGGTGGAATCCTGTTCCTGAAAACCCCATAGAAAATCTGCCCCCCTAGGAGTTAAGTCAGGACTCTGCCCTGTTTAGATCCCAGCAAGATGTTGCTCCAGGCCCTGAGGGCTTAATTTGTTGAACAGGTCGGTTGAGCCACTTTAAATTTTACACCAGAAAAAAGGCAAAATCTCTTGCTAGTAAGCTTTCAACCCCAGTAATGAAATAGGGATCCCTTTTTCTCTCGGGCCTTGGAGTCTAAATCCAAGCCCAGAACACAGTTCTGCCATAAGACCTGGACCTCTGAACCTGCTAAATCTGGGAACAAATCCTCCTTATTGAGGTGGTGCCCCCATTTGTCAGACTGGGGGGCATGTCTGTCGTCCTTCGCAGCCAACTGGTCTCTGCACATTTCAAACTCTTGTGTGTAGAGTGTTGTATTCAGGGGCTACAAACTAAGATTCTGGTGTATGCCTCCCCCACACATCAGGCTATTGGCTTTACTGCAAAGGGGGATAGCCCTTTATGCTGCTCTTGAGAAACTCCTCTCTAAAAGGGTCATAATCTTTATCCCAGAATGAGAAGTTTCAGGAGGTCTACTCATATCTGTTCAGTCCCCGAGGTGAAATGAGGCACCCATCCCATTCTAGATCTCCATATTCCTAAGACATTACTTCATGTTGAGAAATTACTTATGAAATCTGCCTGGCTGGTCATTGCCTCCCTTCACCCAGCATATTTTCCTGCCTCCTTACATCTCTCCATCTTTCCGATATATGAATGCTGTCTCCCTTTTGCTCTGAGCGCGCATTACAAATTTGTTGCCTTCCCCTTTGGCTTTTCCAATGCACCTCCAGGTCTTCACTAAGGTGCTGGATGATATTTTATTTGGACATAATTGGGCTCCTGTCAGACTTTGTGAGCCCTCCCGGATCATCTGCATCTTCTGTCCCAAGGACCAGTTTCCTTTCTTAGTTGTTGTCTTTAACAGCTTGGCTGTTGAAGTCCAGGTTTAGAGGGAAAAGGGCCTACCAGATTATCATCCTTGCGCTAATAAAGGCTAGGAGATAGACTTCTTGCAAAGTCTATCGTCACATTTGGAAAGCTTTGTTCTCCCTGTACAAAGAACGATACTTCCATCCCGGAAAGTTCTCTGTAGGATGAACTCTTTTCTCCAGTCTGGTCTAGACCAGCATTTCCTTGAGTACGCTTAAGAATCAGGTTTTGACCCTAGCCATCACTCCCCTTCTGCATTCTCCAGTGGCTACGTGGGATGTAAGTCTGGTTTTGTTGGTTTTACAAAAAACAAGTTTTGAACTTATCGGGGCTATCACTTTGTCTACCCTAATTCATAACGTTGCATGTTTCATTGTTGTCACCTCCTGAGAGGTGAGCATCTCAGTTGGTAGCCTTATTCTGCAAAGAGCCCTTCCAGGAATTACATAAGCATATGATTATTTTGAGACTTAAGGCCTCCTTTCTTGGGGAGCACAAGTTAGGAATGAGCCTGAAGGGATTGACCTAGTGTTGGGCTTCATTCACAGAGCGTAGAGTGGGGCCATGCAGCGTGCATGGCTGTATGGGGCCGTTCCCGGGAAGGACAGGTGCTGCGTGTGATTTTACACAGCAGCCTGTTCTTCCCTATGGGAGGTCGCGGCCGTACGCTGTCGTATGCTCACTCGAGCTGCACATCCTGTCTGCGTCCAAGTACGGACACCCGCAAGGATGTGCAGCTCTTGTGAGCATACAACATTGTACGGCCACGTCCCCCCATAGGGACGAACAAGCTGCTGCGTACAATCGCATGCAGCACCTGTCCTTCCCGGGAACGGCCTGATATGGCTGTTTACGGATCTGTACGGGTTCATTCGTAACTTGTGCTTCCCAAAAATGTTTCCATTGAAACCCAGTCCCTGTTGTAACTCTTGATGCTGGGATCTAAGAGCCCCAACTTTTGATGGTAATCTTGGTAATAACACGCTTGTGCAATGTATTGTGTTGGCATTTACAAACTTTTCGGTATAGCATGGAAAGGCCTGCTTCCCTTAGGGGTGAACAGTTTATTGTTGATTTCAAGGAGCCAGATAGTCCAAACGAAGAGCCAGCAGCATTCATTGTAAGTGATTTCATCAGGATTTGAAATGGCTTAAAATACCTTTTTGACTTTTTACTATTTAATTCTTATTGATTTTTTTTCCTTCCTTTTAGTCTCCAACAAAAGCCGTATATAATGCAAGACACTGGAACCAGCCAGAGTCTGAGCTCCCAGCTGCACCGGTTTTTAAAGCTCAGTCTGCACCAGTAAGTTGTATTTTTCCATAGTTCTTTAATTTGTCTAGGTGGTAATGCGCAATATGTTTGGGCTATTTCCAGAAACTGCTGGATTTTCTTTAACAACTTGATCCCTTCTCAAATGCTTAACCTTTATCACCTTTTCATCTACTGTATAGGGCTTGATCACTATTTTCTTTAGTAATTGGTCATTTTCTTTTGTTTGGGCTGTGTTCATGATTAGATCTATTTTAAAATGTTATCCACTCAGATGAAGCATCGCACTAAACAGCTGTTTAAATATTTCTGATATAGTAGATTTAATGTGGTCCATTTTATAAAGCAGCTGTATGGTTGTACCACAGCCATACCAATACCTGTGTAAAAAAAAAAAAAAGAGCATCAAAACATTTTTTAAAACGAAACCAAACATAACAAATGTCAGGCCGAAACATATCTCTTTTTTTTGCCCTAACCTTTTCAAAATGTTTTTTAAATATATATTTTTTTTTAAAATTTTACTGTTAGACCCCGTTCACATTGAGCGATTTATCGCGCGGTAATTCCCGCGATATCGCGCTCCAATGCAATCCAATGGGGCAAGTGTCCTGCTGTCGCGGGTCGTGTGTCGCTACAGCAGGACCCTTTTTGGAGCGGATTTAGCCGCGATTCAAGCTTGCTCAATGCAAGCTTGAACGCGACATCGCGCGGCAAATCTCGCGATGTCGCGCAATATGCAAATCGCGCGACAAACGCGCGATTTGCATATCGCGCAGTGGGAACGGGGCCTTAGTGGCTTTGGGGAAATGGAGGTCTAAACAGACCCCTGATATTTCCCTTTTAAAATAGAAAAAGAGATTAAGAACAGAGTGCTCCCAATCTTTTTCTGCATCCCCGGTTATAAATGAGCAGGAATCCTCTATACTGAGTGTTCCTGTTCATTCATAACTTGTGGCGATAGTATGTCTACCATGTCCACAATCTTGAATGAACAGGAAGTGATGATCACTGAGTGCTTGTGCGTCTCCATCCTGACTCGCTGTCGCAGGAGACTGAGCGAGCAGTGCGGGAGGAGAGCTTGATGTCCTCTGACAGCTGACTCCTCCCCAACACCACCAGCCCGGCCTCCTGTGTCTCCTGTGTCTCCACCCACACACCGGTCACAGGAGGCTGCATACAACTCAGTGGTGTGCTTTACAAATGTGTCTTGCACACTACTAGCTTTGAGGGTCTGTAGCAGACTGAGCGCAATAAAAATGGATTGGGGACATTTGGTAGAGGATCCTAGTCATGTGATCTGTCAGTCACATACAATAACTGGCTTTCCTTACTACATTATGTAGCTCTGCTGCCCTGAGCATTGAGAACACATCTTTCCGTGTTTATTGAATGGGATGTAGCGGAGAATGCAGCACACTTGGCTGTAATACACATAAACAAGCCCCTATATCTGACTTTTGTATTGACAACATTAGTACATACTGTATGTTAACTGAAGTATGTTACATTTTGTACCAGGAGAAGACAAAATTAGCTATAATTATACAATATAGCTTTTGTTCTTAACTTGTATGGGGAAAATTACTCTAAATAGGTTCCCTACTCATACATACAGTTTGCATATTACATTTTTTTATTTGCCCTTGATTATTTCAGTCGAACGTAAATGGTAAAGTAACCAGGTGATTAGTTTGTGACATTATTTGGGGCTCTATGGGTACATATAATTTTACGTGGGGTTGCTGTCAGTGTTTTGTCTGATTTTGTTTGTAAGTATGTGATTCATGCACTTTGCTTCAGGTAGTCAGGCACGATTTCCAACATGCATCAAAATGTCCAAACTGATGCACATAACATTCTCTGTACCCTGCTAGCGTTTGATCTGACACTGACTAATTTTCTCTTTCGGAAACAAACCCTTGCTGAGAGACCTAAAACCACTTGGCGGCCTATGAGTTTATAATATTGTGAGTTGAACACTAAGCTTCTCTGCTTGACCAATGTAGCAGGTTTTTTATTTCAGAGAATGCAAATGTGTTGGCAGAACCTCTTTTCCTTTTGTCTGCCTCTATCAGGTTTTTTTTCCTTCTAACATTTCACTCTAAATGGAGTGTTACTAAAAAAAAAAAGATTTTATTGTACCAGGTAAGCGTTAAGCCCTATTAAATAAACAGAAATGGCTATCCGGTCAGACATCTTACTTACAACCTCCACTTGAAAATTTTGCCTCCACTATAGCAGTTGTGTGGCATGTTTACCTATGACTGAACAGTCCAGCAGACACCGATTTTAAACGTGGTTCCCAGTGCAGTAATTAACAGGCCTGAATAGATGCACCCCCCCTATATTCTTAAAGGATTGCAGGATTTTTTAAAATTAACCCTCGCAGTTGGGCACACTGCAAGGGTTAAGTGCTTGTGTGGGTTCGAAAATATACCTGCCTCATCCTTCATCCTGCCTGTCTGCTAGATCGCTCCCTGCAGCCTTTTCTACCCTGCGCTCCAGCGGTTTAAGGACCCGTGACACAGGGCATACCACAGCCAGAGTAGAGGGAGAGAGGTGAGCGCTGACTGGCGCAGGATTGAGGATCAGGTGAGTATACTTTGTTTTCACCCATAGACCTAAACAAGCACTTAACCCTTGCAATGCAGGGTTAGCTCCGGTTTAAGGGTTAATTTGACAAAGCCCACAAGTGTGTGTTTGTGGGGTATGGCAAGTACTAATCTAAGCTGGAATAGAGTGCTGCAGTAGCAAAGCAGACAGTACATTTCCACCAGGAGAAAATGGTATTCCAAGAATCTATTAAAATCAAAACATATAGCAGTACGGGACTATAAAGAGAACACAAATATTGATGTGTATGGGCAAAAGTATTTTCTTTTATTGCTGCACTGTTACATCTAGAGCTGCAGCTAACGATTATTTTCAAAATCGATTAGTTAGCCGATTATTAAGTTCGATTAATCGGTTAATCGGATAACCCAGCTATATTTTTCTGGATAGATTCCTGTTGATTTTGAAATTGTTGTTTTTATTATTGGCCTACTTTTTTAAGTTTTTTTTTTTTTTCTTGGCTTAATGCATACAAATTTTCTTTTTAATCTTCCTGTTTTTTTTTTCTTTATAGCCAAAGCCATCAGAGGCTCCATGTCCAAAGGATGATGGTGTTTTTAAGGCGCCTGCTCCACCTCCTAAAGTGATTAAAACTGTGACTATTCCCACACAGCCCTATCAGGACATAGTGACTGCACTGAAATGCCGAAAGGAGCACAAGGAAGTGAGTATTGTCCATTGTGCATCTAAGGAGAGCTTGCTTGGAAGACCAGGGCCAATAGATACTACAGATCGACTCAGTTGGATTTGTTTTACACTGAGAAATATAGAAATACTGACATTGTGTGCCTTTTTTCTTTTTGCTTCAGTTTTGCTTACACACGGGTTTGATAAAAATGAGGAAGCCTGTAGTTTTTGTTTGTTACCAATTTGGCAGTTTTGCAATATTTCTTCACTTGTAGTTCTGTATGTGTAGTTCTGTATGTGCCGACTGTGTCAAACTGTAATATATGAGAGTGGTAAAATGTTTGATTACTCTCCTGAAGGGCTATACATGCCTTGCTATGGATTAGGATTAACAGACCAATTATCAAGTTGTTTGTTGTTTTTTTTTATAATTTACACATGAGTCTTTACTGTGCTTTTCTGAAATTGTTTACCCTGATAAAATACAGGAATACATTTTCTGAACTGCTTCAGTAGAATATTGTATAAGAATATGTAGCCCATAAAGAAAAACTCCAGTTAAAAATGTTATAAACCATTGCAGTGGGGCTATCCCTGCCCTGCAAGGGTTAACCGCTCGTTTTTTGCCTAGGGTTAAAAATAAGTTATACATCTTCTGAATTTCTGAGCCAACCGGCTGTGACAGCACTCCCTCCTGCCTGTCTCCTCCTCCTCTGCAGCAATGGTACATCCCTTGGCCTCTTCGTGTCCTATGCACTGTATTGGACATGATGACTTGAGGATCCTTCGACTACTGCAGCAGAGGAGGCAAAAACAAGCAGTCAACCCTTGCAGTGTGGGTAAAGCCCCACTGCATGGGTTAATTGCACTTTCAATTGGAGTTCTGCTTTAATTATCCATATGGGCCTAATTGAATTCACGGTTTTAATATTGCTAAAGGTGGCCATACACTGTACAACCTTCGCAAGACCTTAATCTTGCGATGGTTGTAAAGTAATTAAAAAAAACGTACGATCTGCCCATCTTGGACGGGCAGATCGTACTCTCGATCATCGCAAGACCGCCCCCCTGACGGGCGGGCTTCCGATAACCGCAGTGCTGAACGGGCAGTGTGCGCGTGCGCACACCGGCCCGTTCGGCATTTGTCTCCCGAGCACCGTTCAAACCAGCCGAAAATCGTACGATTTTCGGCTGGTTTTCTAGCGTGCTCCTTAGACAAAAGACGTGCGACCGTACAGTATAAAAGGTCTCACGTCTTCGTTCACACTGCTCGATTCTCGTACGATCGTGGGATTTCCCGTGATTCTCGTACGAGAATCGAGCAGTGTATGGGCACCTTAACTCTTGCAAAGAGTTTGAGAGCCCTCGACACCTGTTGTTTTTATGTAGAGTAGAATCTTTTTAAGCCCTAAAACACAGTTTGACTCTAATGGGGCTTTGTATTTAAAGTATTTTGCTAATTCTTTCAAAAACCACTGCTAAATAGGAACTATTTTAGCTTGTAACGCACCCATACATATACAGTAATGAGCTAATACTTGGTCCAAATATGTCCCCAAAGGCTGAGGTATATGAGTGCATAGAGAAGGTGAAACCTCAGCCCTTCGTGTGACAATGTCATTGTTCTCTGCATAGATGATGCAATTAATAAAGATGGAGATGAGCGGTTAGGTTTGACTTGACAAATGAAATATTTAGATTTTTAAAAGTGTGTTTTAGTCTAAGGTTTCATGTTTTAGTGAAAGGAGGAATGCATTCAATACAGCTGATGGAGCTGATTGTGCAGGTACTACTATATGTTTAACATTTTCATTCCCCAAGTTTGTAATGTACTGTGGATGTCAATGTTTTGTGGATTTGGTCACTACATTTCTCCCCACAGCTAATTGAACTGTATGGCACCTAAAAAGGATGTTTTCAACATCTAGTTAGGTGTGAATGTCGCAATAGATCTCTTTATGGAGGTGGGCAAAGTTCCTCATGGGGTTGGGAATTTCAGAGCCAGTAGGGAACACATGCCCCATTTTTATATTCATATGTCTTAAGCTAGTTGCTAACTACTTTCCTTTGTTACTTTTGTAGTATAACATAAAACTATTTAATAATTGTATTTTTTTGTCCTAGCTGTACACTGTTGTTCAACATGTGAAGCACTTCAATGATGTTGTGGAGTTTGGAGAGAATCAGGAGTTCACTGATGATATTGAGTACTTGCTGAGTGGGCTTAAGTGTTCCCAGCCCATAAACACACGGTGCCTTAGGTGAGTCATAGATTTTAGACCCCCATTGAATTTTATCCATGCAGAAAGTTAACATATCACAATACACTGATTTTGTTTTTACTGAAAAGTAACAGGCCCATTTCTGATAGTTATTTCCTAAAAAAAAAAACCAAAGCAAATTATATTCAGGCCTGTCCGAGCAGCATGTGCGGAAGAATAAAATATTTAGGACCTGCTAGAGAGACTAGATCAGAGCTCGGATTTTGAGTACTGAATATTGGCTTTTCTCTCATTGTGAAATAAAGTAGTAAACATAATTAAATGGTTTGATTTACTGTTATCAAGAGCCTTTCATCTTAAAATAACATGGTTAGTGTGAAGTTCCTCCTTGGCTTTTTTTGATGCTGTGCTTCTTGATATCTGATGGGTAGAAATTGTCACTGATATGTTAAATTTGTTTCTCTGCCTATAAACACTATGTACAGCAGAGGTCACATTTATATTTTGACTTGGGAACTAGAAGAAATTGTGTGCATCTATAGCAATAGACCATTTAATAATAGAATGCTACTAATAAGAACATTTAGAGTAGGGGAAGGCCAGAATCCCTGTTGGCTTTTTATTTGTGCATGTATCCCTATAGCCGATGATTCCCCCCTCCCCTCACTACTTGCATTACTTGTAGTCTGAGGTCACAGTATAATGTTAATTTACTTTTGTTTTTCTCCTTCTCACTAGTGTAATAAGCTTGGCGACAAAGTGCGCAATGCCAAGTTTCCGAATGCATCTAAGAGCGCATGGAATGGTAGCAATGGTCTTTAAAACACTGGATGACAGTCAGCACCACCCGGTAAATGTCATTATTTATTTTGAGTGTATAATCCTAAATATTTTACTATATTCCAATGTGTGTACTGTGAAGTTTTTGGCATAAATCTGCTGTGGTGGAAGTTTTTTCTTAAAATTGTTGTGATTTTTTTTTTTTAAACACTGGTTCTCCCCAGCGATAAAGTATATGGCAATCGGTTTGATGCAGATATCACAACATTGCTGGACTGATCCCTGTGCGTGCTTACAAGCTGTTTCCTTATTGCCTGTCTAACACTCTTAAATCATCCCTGTCAGTAAAAACAAACTTGTCACTCAAGGTCTGTTGCTGAACACCGTTGTTTTATCTAATAAAATCTGTGCTCCTACCCCTAAAAAAAAACCCAAACAAATTATTATTATACATTTTTTATAGCGCCAATAGTTTGCACAGCGCTTTACAATATAAGGATGACATTACAATCGCAATACAATTCAAGACAAGATGGTAAGGAGGGCCCTGCCCACGAGGGCTTACAATCTAAAAATATCCTACCCAAAATATTACGCCGCAAGTGTAATAGTGAACCCAATCACACTCAAATACCCCTAAAACACACTGCGCTTTCTTTCCATATATATCTACGCAGGAAACATATATAAATCCTTAAACAAGTAACCAGAAATTAAATATTGCTTAAATCCACAAATCTTCTATAGAACAATCCCTCACAAAACACTTTGCCAAAATACAAAAAAAAAACAAATACCCCAAATACCTAAGGGCTTGTTCACACCAAGCGTGGAGCAGATCCAGAGCAGAGCAGACCGGATCAAAACTGCGTCAAATGTATTCCGATGGTATTTTGAGCTCCAGTTCACATCGCAGCGTGCAGATCCAGAGCAGGTGAAAAAACTGCGGCAAGCTCTATTTTACCTGCTCTGGATCTGCTCTGGAACTTATCAAAACGCATGCAAGTGCCTGAAAGCCCATGTTAAACTTTAAAAAAAATTATAATTTTTTTTTTTAAACCAAAAACGGCCCGAAACGAGGCACAACCCACTGCACTGCGTGTGCAGAAACCTGACCGGATCTGCTCTGCATTTGGTGTGAACAAGGCCTAATACATAAACTAGTGGTCAAACAATGAAATAAAGTGTCCTCTTGACAAATCCTCAATTCAACAATTTCTCATCTGTATATAGCATAAACAGTTCCAGTGCACTTCACATAAAATCCAAATGACACACGGCGCTTATAGTGCCACGAATCTAGTTCCGAACTTTGGTAAGTGGAAAATTTGCACACAATATTGGACAGAGACGATGGACCAAAAAGCGCTCAAAGATCCCCCTCAATGAGTGTCTTAGCCCACGATTACTCTCCTCCATCAGTATTCTAACGCTCAGGAAAAAAGCAAACATCGCATAGTATAAAATCCTTAGGTGAACCTTAAAAACTTACATGAATCTGCTTGATTACATCTCTCGGTAAAGCCCAATAGTTCTGCTCCGTTACCTGTCCTCTCTCCCTCCCTTCAAGAGCTCTTTAAATAGTCTCCAATGACAAAACTAGTTGGGCATGTACCCGCTGTCCCCACGCTAGCCAAGCTACTGCCACCAGGTTCTACAAACGTGGCTTCCTTCCCTTGACTTCCTTATACGGAGGGGGAGCTGAAGAGAAGCCGAAAGGACAGGCAATGGAGCGGAACTATTGTGCTTTAAGGAGAGATGTGATCAGGCAGATTTATGTAAGGTGTTTATTAAAAAAATAAATCTTAACATTTTGGAAAAAACGAACAATAAAACACAAAAACAGGAAGATACCAAAATACACACATGTAGAAAATGTCATGGGATGAGGCAATCTCACTAGGCAATCCTATGCTAACTAAAGAGGAAATGGAAAAGTAGACTGAGACAAGCAAGAACCAGAAAGGGGAGAGGGAAAAGAGAAATAAAAAAAAAAAGGGGGTGGGATTTGCTTAAAGGAGCAGACAAGGTAAATCAGTCTCCATATAGGACTCCCCGGTCTCTCTCTTCTGTCTGCCATGCATTAGACAACCCCAGGCATTCGTAAGCAAGTATGAGGCATATTCAGGTGTGGAAGTAAACCAGTAAAACCAAATTTTATTGCACCTCGTAGAAGTGTTTTTAAGAGTACTGGCTAGGTCCTCCATGATCCGAATTTCATTAATTCTATTAAACCATTGCTTAACGGTGGGCGATCTGTGCTCGGCCACATTGCGGAAACACGCACTCTTGCAGAATTAACTATATGGCGCACTACAGATCGCTTATTAGCCCGTATAGGAATGTGGTTATGATACAGAAGAAAGGACGGGTCCTTAGGAATGTCATAATTGGTGAATTTTCGTGTAATGGCTTGAACCTGTGTCCAATAGCTCTCCAGGACGGGGCAGGCCTGAAAAATATGAAGGATATCACTGCGTGCCTCCCCACATGAAATGTAGCAACGCGGGAGTTTGATACCACCAGAACATTATTTTATATTCTGATTCCTGATCTTTGTTACTTAGGCTGAGTTCACACCCGGGCGTACCATAGGCGCGTTTTTTCTGAGCGTTATTTTAGCAAGTTTTTTCGTTTAGTGAAATGCGCGTTCAACGCTCGTTTTTATACCTCCCTGGCGGGGAGGATTCATGGGATTTCACTTGCTGAGCGTTTTTTCAGCGCTGAAAAACGCCCAGGTGTGAACCCAGCCTAATAGATGACTAGTAGGACAGGATGAGATGTTTAGCGCGTTCCTCCGGAGCAAATTGTATCTGGTGAGCGTTTTCCCACTTAGTCAAAAACGGAAGGGGTGAAGCCTCCTCTTCCCTTGCAAGGCCTGATGGCAAAACGAGAGTACATGTCGAATGGGACCCTCCTGTATACATTCCCTTTCAAAGAAGGTCAAATGGCGTGCAAATGAGGAAGGGAACGGAAAAAGTGTGAAAGTTGTCTCCAACACCATGTAACTAAAAAAAGGTTAGATCAGAGGACAAGGCCCCGAGGCGTATTGGATGTAGTAGGCTGGAAGCCTGGAGCTCGGTAAACCCTATCCAAGATGATCTTGGGAGTACAGGCATCCCTAAGCAGGGAACCAAAGATCGCCGAAACAGTCTCCTTCAGTTGCGGTGCAACTGTAGCCTCCGGAAGACCCTTAATGTGGATATTGTTTCTGCGGTTTCTGCCTTCTAGGTACTCCTGCTGAAGTTGCAATATGGAGAGACGGTGAGAGGTGACACTCTGATCACGCTCAATATTCTGAACAAGGGATTCAAGGGCAGCGTGTTGTACAGAAGTCTGCTTAGCACACGCAGAATAGCGATGCTCTGCTGTAGGCCGCATATATACTTTTGCAGGGTGTATTCAACCCTGGCAACGAGGTAGTCAAAATCTGCTTTGGAGGGCAGATAGCTGAAGAGAGCTCTGAATTCAGCAAAATGCCTGCAAGCGGGTCCAGAGCTACGGAGGAGGTGGATTCTGAATGGTCGGTATACTCAGGGGAGGGACGACAGTCCAGTTGAGACTGCAGGTCTTCTGGCACGCAAGGTGCAGGGGCCATCTTGTTCTTACCACGGGCTGCAGTATCCCCCATGGACGTGGAACAAATAGTGGTGGCGATCTGAAGCCCGTGCTCTCATTTCTCCCTTTCTTAGGCATAGTGGAGTGAAACACGGGAATCGGGTATAAGTGCCAAAAATAGCATATAAAAAGATGGTAAGTCCCGGAGCTCTCAATCCGCCATGCTCAGGACACTCCCCCTTTATGTAAGTTTTTAAGAAGGTTTTACCGAAGGATTGTATACTATGCAAAGTTTGCTTTTATTCCTGAGTGTAAATTTACTGATGAAGGAGAGAGAGTAGTCGTGGGCTAAGACACTCATTGAGGGGATCTCTGAGCGCTTTTTGACCATTTTAAAAACGTGGTCCATTGTCTCCAGTGAGTGGAAATTTTGCACAGAATATTGCACAAAGGTCTTAACTGTCGTTTGGATTTTGTGTGAAGTGCACTGGAACTGTGTGATATACACAGGATGGGAGACACCTTGTTTATTTGAAGATTTGTGAAGTGGACACTTAATTTCGTTGTTTGATAACATACAAAAAACATATCCCAAATACCCAAAACATAAACTAGTGATCAAAGTGTTTTGTAAGGAATTGGTCTAAAGAATTGTGTATTTATGGGATTTTATTTCAGGTCACTTGTTTATGTATTTATGTTGTTTGTAGATCTATATGGAAAGTAAGCGCAGTGTGTTTTAGGGATATTTGTTGAACTCTGCTCCACTGAATACAATCTTCATCTGCCTCCGCTGTCCCCAATGTTTTCTCCCCTGGACCTGTATACAGGACACAGTAGTGATCCGGAGATGGACGGCAGGAGAGTTGGGAATAGAACTTCTGTTAGAAGACCTTTTTGGATAAGCTGATTTTATTGACATGGACACTTTATCTCGTATTGAGGAAAGCTAAACACTGTAGCAAGCAATTTATATTTTAATTCTCTATTTATACCCATTCAAAATGTGCAACTGCTGCTTCATTTACACAGACTGCTTGCTGAGCAGAGGTGGCCATTCCAAAAGGAACCATGAGGAAATGTAGAGGGCAACACAAATAATTTACTGTGTTCATATACAGCAACTGCATATGTCTGCTTCACATGTTTTATAAAAAAAAAAAAACCTCAGCAAAGGTGGAAATGGCCTTTAAGAGTCCTAGCAAATCATAGAGTAAAAAAGATGTTGGCCTCAGGTGTTTGTGGGGTTTTTTTTTCTTCTTTTTGTCTTGGAGTGGGAAAGGATTAGTCTTCATCTTTGTTCCTTCGATCTAGAGCGATTTCCCCTCACTAATTTGTTGACAAATTTCACCAGACAAACATTTGGCTGGACGAAAACCTTTTTAATATTCCAGATTTTCACACTGACATTTGATTGCTGGAGTGAAGCTGTTAGAGACCTGGTTTGCGTTTTTACAGTTATTTATTACAACTGCCTGTTATCATTAATGCCCATCTTGACTTCTATCCTCCTTATCACAGAACCTAGCTCTTTGCACTGCTGCGCTAATGTATATACTAAGCAGAGACCGCTTAAATATGGACCTTGACAGAGCTAGTCTGGACCTCATGATTCGACTTTTAGAAATGGAGCACGAACTCACATCCAAGCATATGAATGAGAAAGATATGATCAAAATAAAAGAGAAAATTCGCAAGTTGTGTGAAACCGTCCACAACAAGCATCTCGACTTAGAGAATATCACAGTAAGTGTTGTTTATTTTATTTTTTTCATTGGGGCCTCTGAAATCAAGTGTTAATAAATCTCACAGCCAAGGCCCCGGTCAATTGCAGGACATTTGCCACTCTTTGCAGCATTTTTGTTCTATGCTGCTTCTGATTGTTGAGGAATGGCAACCTCCTGCATTGAATGGAAACCTTAGATGTACCAGGCAACTGCTGTCATGACATGTTCTCTTTAGAATTCTTGCCAATGCCTTGTATTTCTGGTCTTTGGAACAGTGCCCAGCTCCGGAGTAAGGTCTGGCTGGCATCACCAACCTCTGTTCTTGTGTGTGACCATCATAAATCTTGAGGTTTTAATGATGTTCTTTTTAAATATTGTGATGTATATGCTAGATTTCCAATCTCTGTAAACCTGTGTTTCTGTTTTTTTTTTCATTGTGTGGTAAGCAGCTAAACCTTGCACATATCACCTATCAACAGGTGCTGACAAAACCTATTCTTGTCTGGGCATGGTGTGAACAAGCCCATAGTCTTTTTGCATGGATAGATGTTTATACATAATGATTCCGTGACTTGTTGTGTTTTTAAACGTAATTTCCCCCCTATCGTTTCAGCCCAATATATGGATTATATGTTTAAAGTAATACCGTAGTAGTTTGAATAGGTTAGGTGAGCAGAGTTAAATACTTGCAAAGCATTTTAACTTTCAAAGAATTTTTTTTCCCAACAAAAAAATGCAGCCAGTATAAGTAGTACAGATATCACAGGGCATGAGTGTTGGATGCAGTATACAGAAGGACAACAAATGACAATGACTGTAGCAACTGCTTATTAAAGGAGCAATATGACATGTGGCAAGGCATTTTAATTAAGAAATCTATCTGCAAAGTAACGATAAAATGTTGAAGTTGCATTTTATCATTTTATGAAGATATCTCATGGGTGCCGTCATAAACTGGTGTGCCATCTTAACGGCCTTTTAAGATGACGCTGGGGCCTCAAGTCATTTACAAGTGCCACTTACATCTCCAGACAGCCCTGGTTATGATGAAAAGCAATATGTCCCTTGTGCACCCATTAATGTATTTGACAATCTCATACCTGAAAGCAATAGAAACCCTAGTGTCATCAGTAGTAATCCACATGTGTGCGATGTCACTGCTATATTTATATAAGCGATGGGTGGCAGCATAGGAAGGGCAATTCATTGTGCATGCTTGGGACATATTTTTCATCACAATTTGAGTTTAACCAGCACATGCCTCCCGGCTTTTGCACAGCCATCCCCTTTGTATGAGCCCCTGGTACCCGTGTCGGCTCTATGAACTTGGGACCCCTGTAGGGGAATTCAGGATGGGGAGTGGGAGGAGAATAGTAAACTGCAGTTCATCCATTTGCTTTGGTCTTCATGAATTTAGAGACACTCGGCTATGAGCTTTTCTTAGCGGTCTTAGCTTATTTCTTCCCTGCCTTAATCAAGGTGCGTGTGGCCTGAGGCTAAGGATGTATTAGTGGGCTAATAGACGGACCCCTCTTAGATCAATAAAGAGTACCTGTCAATATCTGTCATTCTCCTTTTGGATGGTAATATTATATAAAAGGTATTAAATAACTGCCCCCACCCACAGGCACACACTGTTGTAATGGACCTACAAATGTAAACCCCTTTGCATGATGTATATTGGGTATCACTGTATGATGAATGAATATTCTTGGGGCCATCAAACTAAACCTTTTTTTTTTGTACTCCAACCCAGCTAAACATTTCTAGGGAATAAACGACATAGACCTTTCTGTCAGCCTTGTAATTCACAATGTTCATGTGGATGGGTTCCAGGCATGACTTGGATAGATCATGGATTCTGTAGAACCTCTGTTTAGAAATAATGGCTCCCTATGATACTTATCTGGCGCAGTGTAATTGCCATTGCTGGTGGGAGAGGATCTAAACCCAGTTTGTACAGTGTGCATCAGCCAGAATGAGGAATAATTAGGTACATTGTGCTTTCTGCTGTGTAACTGATGCTGCCGTTTCCTTCCTCTGTGGGACTTTTGTGTGCTGGCAGGAAGTGTTCATACATCAAGACTTTCTGAAAGATTTTCTGTCACGTTTGTGCATTTTATTTGAATTGCTTGTCTATTTTTCCTCCTCCTAATCCGTATAGATTTTTCTTGATCACAGCATTTGTGTCGGAGTGCTCAATCTTTCTTTGCTCCCTCTGGTGGAGGATCATAGCAGTAAACATATTAATGTGAACGGATTTGGCAGACTTCCAGAAAGGGCGCTGTACAACAGCACTGTGCTGACCTAGGTTAAACTAGGACTTCCGCATTTTTAGGCTTAGATGAGGCTGTATGTGAAAGATGTCTGGGACACTTTAGGCTTTTTTTAATTGGTTAATAGTTGCATTAAAAAATTGCATATAACATACGTCATATCTTTATTATTGCAGGTATTTAATGTTCAGAGGTAAAGAGAATTCCTGCTTTGGTTATGCTTACTCCGATGTGATTGGATCTCTGCCCAGGTGCTTAGTGTACAGCCTGCCAGTGCACGGCTTGCTGCCTGCTGTACTCCAGACCTCAATAAATGACCGGAGTACATGTGTTTGCGTTTAGAGCACTTTTCTAAACGCGTATTAATGCAGCAAATGATTTTTTTAATGGTATCATTCAGATAGGAAGTGTACCTGCGTTTTTAGGTGCATTCAGTTTGGCTGCATTTAGAGAAAATAGAATTCTGTGTGTCGCGTTGTCAAATAATTGGTAAGGAGGGCCCTGTCCGTGAGGGCTTACAAACTTGCGCTTCGGCGCACTTTCACTCAAAAGCAAAGGTGTGAACGGGGACTAATAATTTAAAGAGACAACAGAAGCATTTTCCTAGTGTCAAATATGCAAAAGTTGCTATTTTGGAACCTTTTTTTGTTTGTTCATAAATAGGTACCTGATGCAAAAACAAAATACATTGAAATTTTTTTTTCTTGTTTTGTTTCTTTTAATGTGGTGGCTTGAACCTTTTTAAAAGGTGGGGTGTGCGCCAAGGCCCGGCACTGCTCTGCTTATTTTCCATGTTGATTGATGATCATCATCTAATCCACTTCCTGGTAGTCCAGGCTGACATGGACACACCCCCTGGGGGGGCATTGACAAATTTACAGAAACAAAGATGTTGTACCTGAGGCCCTCTGGATTTATGAAGTGAAATAGATGTCAAAGGCTCTGCTCTTCCTGTCTTGTGTTGGCTGCACAGTGTGGAACATTTTTAAATGTGCACATTTTTTACTGCAGTGTTTTTTTTACATAATTTAGTGCTTGTTTAATATTTTGTGTTCTGTCCAGTGAAGGACAAAAATTGTCAGTTTTCCAGTCTGCATGAATTTAGACACCTTTTTCCCCAAACTTTTTATTTTCCCCCTTCTACTATTGATGGCATTTTGCTAAACAATGCTTGTTTATTCAACCAGAAATCTGGTAAGCATCTAACTTCTGGTGCACTACACTATAATCTCATGCAGTGTTATTAGTCCTGCCCAGTTCACCTTTTCACACTACAGAACACCTCCCTCTATGATATGTCAATGAGATGGGGTCCTGTTATCCAAATCAAATGTGAGCAGCCTAGGGTGACAACGCTATTCCTACATAGGGTGCAATGAGTAAGCATTTTCATCCTAGAACAGGTAGTGTATTGCCAGGAGGATCACCAGGTAGAAGTTTACCAAAACAAAAGTAATGCAGCCACCTCAAGAAATGCTAAGCTGTAACATATGTTAAATTTTTTGTTCTTTAGGTTTGGATGCAATTTAAAGATAATCTGTTACTGCCCATTTAGAGCAAGTTTTCCTTGCAGGCCGCTCTCGCCCACAATTTTCTGCTATTCCAGTCATCTGTTAAAGCTCTGCGTCTAATCCATGTGTGGCGGACTCCAGTACTCGGGATGAGTATGTCCGCTGCTGTATTCTTCCTTGCTCTGGAGATATTGCAACCCGCTGATCTTTAGCTCCCAGTTTCCCCAGTCACTAGTCGAGACCGAGTGTAGGGTGAAACAAACTCTAATTTATTGAGCAATCGTGCAACCTTTTATACAGAAAGTGATCAGATTAGATTATAATCCCATCACATCCACCATGCCTTCCCAAGGCACAACTCAGCAGGGGTCCACCTGTTAAAGAGCTCCAGACAGCCATAGCAGGAGTCTGGCCAGACGCAGGAGAATGTCATTGTCCTGAGCTCCTTCAGAGTACAAAGGGAGGGGTGGTGCTGACAGACTTTTGATGAACAGGTTACCCAGTACAACGTTATTTAACATTACCCAACCGCAATACACATATAACCCATAAACTGATGACCATGTCGTCACACCATGCTTAGAGGGTTTTTGACCACCTCCAACCGCCAGGTTCTCAGGGTGGGGTGTCTCATGTCTCAATCGCTGCATCCTGCGAGAAAGGGGAGATAATTACCTGCTTTCCCCATACCTGGAAGTTCTGGGTATTTTTAAAAGCTTCAACGGATTACCAGGGAGCTGAAGAATAGCTCTACAATGCTATCTCTAGGGAGCCCACCAAGAGAACCTGCCCCTTTTGCCCTAAATCCGAAAAAATTTACAATTTTTCCCTAATCATCTTCCTGTACAGCACAGGATTTGTTCCGCCCACCACACCGACAATACATTGTTCGTTTCAAGCAAAAAAAAAAAAAAGAACAGATTAACTTCCTCGAAAACCTGAACAGAGCCGACAGCCGATGAGCTGTTCATTCGAAGATTTTCCGAACAGATCCTTCAATCAGCTGATCAAAGAATGCCGGCCGCGGCACCCACTCTGACTTTCAGCTAGTTCCTGGAGAACCTTAGTGTGGAAAATATAGAACTGATTATGACAGTCAAGGGGTGCTACACATCATACTTTGTGTATAAAGGGATGAAAAAACATTTGTCTGGCAGATTAAACAGTTGACAGCTGTCATTGAGGCGGGAAGTTAGGAAAAATCTCCACACGAGCATGTTGGCAAATCTATCAGATTGTAACACTCCCAGACTAAGTAGTAAACATTTTTGTTTGAAGTTCCACCAGAGGTCCTAACTGTATTGGCCTGTATCCAACCTGGATGTTCATCAGTCACTTTGTGATGCAAGAAATGATACAAAATGTTGGATACAGTGGTCTATGTAATTGCACTGTCTGCTAATTTCTTGAAGCACAAAGCGCAGTTTGCGGTCATACGTTGCTGTTTAAAAATGAACAGAAGTGAAAGCTTGATCATTTGTGCTCTAATCTTATTGAGTTAAATGTTTGTTTTTTATTTTACAGACTGGTCATTTAGCAATGGAGACATTACTGTCACTGACATCAAAACGAGCAGGAGATTGGTTTAAAGAGGAGCTGAGGCTTTTAGGTGGACTGGACCATATTGTAGACAAGGGTATGTGTTAACCTCATGCATTCTGGTTACCCCTCTTACCATCTGTTCTAACTATGCACTGACTGGCGGAATCATCTGCATTAGCCCATTCACTGACGTTTCTTATATTGATCTGACCATGGCAAGATGAAATCTTTTTGCTATGGGTTACAGTTGTTTGCACAATATTAGTCTAGTGCTCTAAATTAGCAAGATGGGCTTTTCTGGAAGATGTAGATGCTGGGACTTTCATGGCGGGAGGGGGAGTATTGTTATATTAATACACTTGCGTAGTTTGCCGACTGTTTAAAATGTGGGATTTATTTTTCTTTCTCCTTCAGTTAAAGAATGTGCAAATCATCTTGGCAGTGATGAAATTGAGGACAAATTAGTTGCATTTTTATGGGGAGCTGAACGGTGCTTAAGAGTCTTGGAGAGCGTGAGTATCCGCATCTTGTCTTTTCATTCTTTTTCTTAAAATGTTCTGATTATTTACCAAGTCAATGATATAAAATTTGGCAGACATTACTGTTGAGGAAGGCTGGTTACCAGTTCGATGCCAGCACATTTCTGTTCCAGAACTGCATCCTATTCAAAATTATAACCTTGAGTGTTTATGAATATAATCGCTGTTAATACAATGAAAGCTGATGTAAAAAATGTAATCTCCTTTTTTGATAACTTTTATTTTTTTTCTAACATAGCTTGATCTAAACGTTTACTAGCTAATGTTTATTTTAACTAAATGATCAACTTTCATGAGTTAGTCCCAGCAATCCCTTTTGCTTCAAAAACAGGCATCTGGTTTGGATGGGAGGAAGCCTGTAGTGATGTAATCTGTTGGGCAGATACATCCCTAGCTCAAGCTGGAAAGTTCTTATGAGTTGCTGGCACGTGCTTATGACATGCTGTAATTTTTAAAATTTATCGTGTGTAAAACCAAGTTTTCCGAGTGACAGATGTTCTGACATCTCTAGCGGCATACTTTTCTCGTGTTGGTAATGACCATAGTTATAGGGTCAATGTAGACACTCAACTAGCATTGTGAATATATAGTGCGCTGCGCTGGATAATGGATACACTCCTCAAACGACTCAATACGGTGATCTCTCACTTTTAATCTCATAAGTGACTCTCCCAGTGTTACATGTGCAATAGGTAAATACTGCTGATGATTCTCACATCAATTTGTGAAATATTCTAATTATTAGTGACAATCTGTCTTGAACACAGGAGGAGTGAAGGAGAGCTGGTAACAGTGGACCTCACATGCTGGTTAATATCGTGAGAACTGGTACTCTGCTCTATTTTACACTTTTTCTTTTTTTTTAGAGTGTCATGGGAATAAGGTGAGTTTTCTATGACAGCACAGTGGGTGATTCACTTCTATACATGACAGTTATTGAATCAATTGTGGTCAGTGTTTGAGCATCATTCACAGAAGGATTATCTCTGAATGTTGGATTATTATTATTGATAAGATGGACACTAAGACTTTTGTTTAATGGTATTTGTTTTTTGAAATATATGTGACAGATTGTCACTAATTAGAAAATGTCACAAATTGATGTGAGAATAATCAGTATTTACCTATTGCACATGTAACACCGGGATATTCACTTATGAGATAAATACTGAGTGAGAGATCACCGTATTGAGTCGGTTGAGGAGTGCATCCATTTATTCAGGGCAGTGCACTATATATTCACATTCATGGGTGACTTTTATACCCTAAACACAGCAGCTTGTAATTATGTTTTCTAAGTATAACATTGTTTTATACTCTCCGCGCAAACTTTTATATAAAGTCAACTTGCATTGCCAGAAGGTCGTTGGCCTTGACAGACTCCATATTTCTGTTAGCACAGGTTTCCTTCAGCTGCAAAAAAGTTCAGCCTGTGTGTAACGATCTTATTAGTTATCAAAGATGTGTGTTAATTAGGGATGCACCGTTACCGTTTTTTCAGTACAGAGTACCAATATATATTTTTTCGGTACTCGCTAATACCAATACCAGAAGTCCCATTAAGAAAGACAGGCGGCTTGTAAGGACTCGCCATCCGACTTACCGATTAGCTGGGAAGCCATTTCCATGCTCCCTTGTCACCAGGTGACGAGAAAGCACATAGCCAGCTTTCTGGCCAATCAGGAAGCTGGGCAGGGAGTCATTACACTTGGTGATGAGGGAGCATGCCGGCCATTCAGGAGGCCCGGCAGCGTGTAATGACACTCCGCCCGGCCTCCTGTTACCAGAAGTTCGGGAGAGGCATCGGGAGCATTTGGGCGTGTATGAGTATTTGGGCGTGTATGAGTATTTGCCCAAATACTCAGTATCTGTACTGATACTAGTATCCGTGCATCCCCAGTGTTTAATGTTAAACAAGACATCTAAACTTGGTAGCTACAATGTTTGCATGATTAATATAAGTGGTAATTGGATAATTGCTGTTACAGCTCAAAAAAGAACGTGATTTCTCTTTTATTAAACCTTTTTTCATCACTATCTAAGCTGCATTCCCAAATAAAATTGTAGTCCTTCTCTTATTGTTTAGCCTCTGTGTAATTGACAAATCAAGTGCAAGTCCAAATAAAAACCCAGCCCACAAAGACAAGAGTCAGGCGCTAAATAAGTCCACATTGAGAGTAGGTAGCCAAGATTTGTTTAGCCTCCTGCATGAGACATGTATAATTGGCCCAGCTTTAGGCCATGGAGCACAGAAATTGGGGTCCTGGAATAGTTGTAATTGGGTGGCAGGAATCGCTACACATAGCAAGTAAACGGATTCTGTTTAATTTGCAATGCATGATAATGATGAGTGGCAAAGTATCACTAAAGGGCAGCTTGACTGTGTCCTAATTATTTTAGAAAATTGAGGCCACCTGTAATGTAGTGGATAATGTTTTTGTCTGTTTTCAGGTTACAGTGCATAATCCAGAAAATCAGAGTTACTTAATTGCATATAAAGACTCCCAGCTCATCGCAGCTTCAGCAAAGTAAGTTGTTGGGGTCCCCTCCTTGTGTATGTTTGGTTAAAGGAGAATTATGAGGCTAGTGCTTTTCACTCGGCCTCATAATCTGAGCTGACCTGTGACAATGAGACTGTCACAGGTCGGCTCAGTAGATCGGGAGGTGAGCGAACACATACCGGCGCTCGCTCACTTCTCGATCCTGTCACTGCAGTTAATGTTGTCTACTAACAGTTTTGGGCATCGTAGTTTGCTGCTTTTTCACAGGCGCATGCAGCTTGACATATTTGCCATCTATTTACTTAACACATCCCTATCTTTCATATTAATATATAATTGGGTAGTTTTTGTTTTTGTGTGTACTATAATTTTTTAATTTATTCTACAGGGTCACTACTTTCAGAAAATGTGTTGGGGTGTTAAGTAATCTTTAGGCCTCAAATGTGCATTTTTTTCAAATGTGGAAAAATATATTTAAAAAAAAATGGATATGCATCTGCCTTTTACTGCCAGAGTCAACTGAATCCGCCTTTTGTATTGCATACCGGTAGATGTTTGTGAATAAATAGAATATTATAGAATCAAGCTGAAATGTAGTCTTGTGTATGCCCACTAATATGCATGTCTCTTGTAATTGTTCACAGAGCCCTTAGACACTGTGAGGAGTTCATTCAGAGATATAACAGAGCTGAAGATACCATCTGCATTCCTCACAACGAAACACTCCCTCACCATAATCCAAGCAGCCATGTGGGGAAAGCCGTGGAGGACTGTATGAGGGCAATCATTGGTGTGCTGCTCAATTTAACAAATGATAATGGTATGGGTTTGTTTTTGGTTTTTTATACTCCCGGTAGATCTGATAAGTTTACTTTGAATTAATTGCCTTCCGTAAATCTAGCTGGTACACTGATGAAAATCCTTTCTAACAATGATAACCTTTGAATTGAATCGGTCCCAAATAAAGCTCCTTTAAGAATTGAGTATTTGTCCTTAGAATGGAACTACAAGCATTCAGCTAAATATTGTTAAGCTGCTTTTGGCTCACACACTGCTGCTGCAGTACACATTTAAGTCCTGGGTCAATTTAATGCTTTCTTGATCACCTCCCTGCTTGTTGGAAAGAAATGATAATGCTAATCGATGATCCTTTTATCAGGCTAGAGTTGAAGAGGTGACATAAGAGGCTGCATTTTTGCAGCGATAGTGTTATCTGCCTGGCTGTGTAGGGTGGCAGATGGGGAATAGATCACTAGACTGGCTGATGAAGAATTACAAATTGTAGTTATAATTGTGCTGCATTCCTTCTAAAACAAAAAAGCTTTGCAACTTTATTTGCTTTGCCTGTGGCTGTCTGTTTAGCTTGAATTAGTCGTGGATTAAATGGGCATCTGAATTGAAGGGACTCTTGCTGCCTTGTCACTTGCCCGGCATAGCACATTGTCCCCCAGCTCCTGAGTATGCATTGCATAAGGTCAAGCTTTTGATGGGGCAACAGCTGCCAGACCTTTTTAGGTAAATTGAATTCCCTAATGTATGTTATTCACTCACACAGGAAAAAGAAAAATCCAGAATAATGATGCAAATCTAAATCGTTCATATTATATACTATACTGAAGAATAAATATTCTGATTTCTGTGTATTACGAGTTATCGTTTAATACATATTCTAGTATATCTTCTTACACATTTTAAAGAAACTCCACAACTTGCTGTTTTTGGTTTCTGTACAAGTTTTTTTGTCTATTAAAAAAAAATGAATCTTTGCTTATGTTATGGTTTAGGATTAAGTTAGATACAAGTGTTGATTTGTAATGCTGTTTGAAGGTTGGTTCCATATGGATACTTCTAAGATGTGGATACTTCTGGAGATTTCTGAGGCCGTGTATGGGCAGATTACTAGCTCTCCTTTTTTACTTCCTGGATTTCTGTCATATTTGGGGCTCTTTCTACAAATCATTTTACCCCAGACTAGTTTACACTTTTTACACTCTAGCGAGCAATCTAAACAGCACAACTTAGCCTTTCTAGTATGTATGAAATAGACAAGTATACTTCCATAAAGGAGAAGTGTAATGCGTTATTTCTAATGTTGGAAGAATTACAATCATGTACTTTTGTAAAGTAAGAAAGATGAAACACTTCAGGTAGTCAGGGGTCTGACTTGTTAGAAAATCTTTTGCTATACCTGTCTCGGCCTTATGTGAAGTAAAGCATTAGGAGTGTACTACACATGTAAGCATCATGTCTGCTCCCAGTGCTGGAGCAAGTTGAGGACAGGCAGTTATCTCATCAATTATGATTCTGGTTGAGAGTTTTGGCCATCTGCTGCTAGCCTGTGTGTGACTGTAGAGCAGATTTTCTAAGATGTATGAATTTGGCAGTATTTATGTGCAAATATATAGTTTCACATAACTGAGATGGCTTAACGTTTTTGTTGTTTTTGTGTACAGAGTGGGGAAGTACAAAGACAGGTGAACAGGACAATCTGATTAGCACTGCACTTAACTGTGTTCTTCAAGTTCCAAAGTTCCTACCTCAAGAACAGAGATTTGATATTCGAGTTTTGGTAAGTTCTTCATGTTAAATATACATTTTGTTTCTATTAATGGAAGTGTTCATTATGGCAGTTTTCAGGTCAGGCTGCAGTGTAGATTTCTCTGAGAGTAACACAGTATGCTTTTATGTTTGACCAAGTAAATGTTCTTCGGTGTGTATTAAATAATATTGCAGCATACATAGTACTATGTCCAGTAAATTTATGTGCCTTTTTTCATCTTCAGGGATTGGGTCTACTGATAAATTTAGTGGAGTACAGTGCAAGAAACCGGCATTGCCTTGTGAACATGCAAACAATACAATCATATGATTCCTTTGATGAAGAGGGAGTAATTGGGCAAGTCGGTGCAGTCCAAGCTTTGGTACAGGTAAGTTGAATATAGTAGCTCTGGCATATTTTTCTCCATCTGGATTGAAATATCAAGTAACTCCTTTTACATGTATGAAAAACAGTGGATTTACTTTATTGCCCCATCTAGGAGCGAGAAAAAGCTTTGTAAAACAGTTTTGAGGACTGCCTCAAAACTCCTCCATGCTGGGGCAATCCCCAAAGCACCATTGCCCTTAGTTGGCGCTGGTCACATACTTCACCATACCCAGAAGTACTGGCTATTTTCTGCTTCTGTTTCTGCCATCTTAAGAGAACGGGGAAGAGGAGCTGCTGAGGGAGGGTAGCAAACGTTTGCTTAGCTAGAAGGGATGAGTCTTGATTTCTTCTTGGAACCAAGTCCTGCTTCTAATCATTTAGCTGTTATATGTCTGAGCCTCAGTGGGCTTTAGAGACTGAGAGCTGACAGTTGAATGTCTTTTGTATGTGTTAGTGGTCCGATGGTCTTAATCTCTTCTTGGGAATAGTATAGACCCCATGTACAGTCTTGGCCCTAGGTTACAGAGGACTACAAAACGATCTGTTTGATGACTAACAACCTAAGACTAAGTGATGTTTCCCAGTATTCAGTTTAAGCACTATTAGCATTTGATCTGGAGCTTGGCCTTCAAAGTACTTATTTGCAGATAACACAAAATTATATTGTTAGGTAGTCTTGTAAGATGTCCTCAACTTATAAACTGAATTAGATTATTATTATTACATAGTATTTATATAGCGCCAACAGTTTGCGCAGCGCTTTACAATATAAGGAAGACATTACAGTTACAATACAATTCAAGACAAGATGGTAAGGAGGGCTTACAATCTGAAAGAGGAGGGGGAAATGATACATGAGGAGGTAGCTGTGGGAATTAATTATGTGAGAATGTGAAGGTTCAGTGGTTAGGTCGCGGTGGGATAGGCTTCCCTGAAGAGATGAGTCTTTAGGGAACGCCTAAAGGCAGTCAAGGTGGGAGATAGACGGACAGGTTGGGGTAAAGAGTTCCAGAGGATGGGAGAGACTCTAGAGAAGTCCTGGAGGCGAGTATGGGAGGAGTGGACAAGGGAGCTGGAAAGCAGGAGGTCAATGGATGAGGGGACGGTTAGGGTGATACTTAGAGACAAGGTCTGAGAGATATCCGGGGGGGAGTTGTGGATGGCTTTATAGGTGACTGTTAATATTTTGAATTTTGAATTCCAAATTCTTTTATTTTAAATTCACAGATAACATATATACAAGTCATACATACATACAGACATAAATTCCCCTATATTGCTAACATTCCGGTCTTCCCCTCCACTTTAAGTCCATCTTGCTTCATATATCGTCTCTCAGGCATGCTCTGTTTTTGAAAGGTTGAGTTTTAAGAAATGTGACATCCAGATGGATATGTCAGTTAGTAGATTAGTGACACGACGATAGAGCAAGAGGGTGGCCAAAGTAGTTTTGAGGGAACAGGGGGCAAGTGGTGAGGTGGGTGTCAGAGAGAAGCTTAGTAACCTCCTCTGTGGTGACAGGGTCAAAAGAGGAAAGTAACAAGTGTGATGGAGGATCAGGTACTATAATAAAAGGAGCAGTTGATTGGACAGTGGCGATCTGATCTCGAATGGTATCTTTTTTGTTTTTGAAATTAGTGGCAATGTCCTGGGCCGTGAGTGAGTTAGTGGGTGGTGGTGTTGGAGGACATAGTAGAGACTTGAAGGTAGAAAAGAGTTGACGAGGTCTGGATGAGTGTGTTAACCCCTTCATGACTGAGCTAGTTTTCAGGTTCTGTTCATAAATGACTGACACATTTTTTACATTTTTGCTGTGTGATTCTTCCACAGCAGTAATATACTTTCTTACTAAATGTACCCACACATATTATATATAGTTTTTTAGAGGACAGATAGGGCTATATAATTATATCACATATGTGTACCTAACCCCTCACTTAGTTTGAATAAAATAAAAAAATTAGGAAAAAAACTAGAAGAAAAACACTTTTTTCACAAGTTTTGATTATTTTTTTTTTTTTAGAATTTTTTTATATTAATTATAGTATAAAAAATATATTTATATATAATTTATATTTTCCTAATTTTGTTTTACACTTTATTTTAATTTTTTTACACTTTGTAAAAAAAATAAAAATAAAATAAAAAAACTTTTTTTTTTCTTGTCAGTTTATATCAAGCAATCACTATGACAGCTTGATAAATTAACTTTTTTATTTTATTTTTGGCTATTAGGCTGATCCAAACTTAGGAACAGCTAATAATAACCTTAGAGACTGATCCTGACTTTAGTCAGATTCAGATCTCACTAAAAGCTCTTTGATCGTGCCTAGACGATCAGAAATGATACATTTCACTCAAAAGAGATACATTGTATTCTTTCAGTGAAATGTATCTAAACATCGGGCTCTCGAGCTGTCAAAACAAATAGCAGAGAGGTGAGGTGAGTCACTGCTGCCTCTCTGCTATTTTGAGCTTCACCCGCTCTGAGCAGACTTCCGTCTGGCTGTTCACAATCGGCCATGGACGGAAGGTGGTTAATGAAAGGAAGAAGCTTTTACAAAAAGCTTAATTATTTCATTAATTAATGCCTCAATACTGAGACATTAATGAATGACTGTTAAATGCTGAGAATCAGCAAATACCGGCATTACAAAGCCTGATATAACTCGTCACGTACAGTGTACGTGGCCAGTCATATAGGCACCAAGTGACAGGACGTACACTGTACGTCTCCCGTCACGAAGGGGTTAATGAGAGTGACAAAATAAGTTTGTTTGGCAGCATGGAGGGAGGAGTTATATTTTATCAGGGCAGCTTTGTACAGGGTAAAGTCTTGCAGAGACCTAGTTCTCCGCCACAATCGCTCAAGAGCGCGGCTTTGTCTTTTTTGATGTTTGGTAACTTCAGTTTGCCACGGTTGTAGCAGGCGTGGTCTAAGTCTGCGTGTTGTGAGGGGAGCCAAGGTGTCTAGGGAGGATGAGAGTGAGTTGTTAAAAATAGAAGTCAGCCAGGTCAGGGCAGGACAGGGGTGAGATTTTGTCAAAGAGGGAGTCAGTAGCAGAGTGGAGAAGAGAAAGGTCGAGGTGGTGGAGGTTTCTCTGGGTAACAGTGTGCCTTGTAGGGGGAGTCAGTGTTGGGGACAGGGTGATTGTGAATACACTGGTTTATTTAAAGTGAACATGCAAAGAGAACATGGAAACAGCGCCTACACATGGTGTAATGGCATTTATTAAATCAATCATCCCTGAAAGGCATTGGCTATCCTTAGCCTTGCCTACCTCTGGTGGTCACCACAGATTTTTGGGTCTTCCGCGTTCTGTAACACTGTGAGTTGTAGTGGAGATTGTAATGCTGTATACTAAATATAGAATGTGTGAGTAGATTGATGTATTTTTTTTTACTTGCTTTAACCACTTGCCGTCCGCCCGTTGTAAAAAAAACGGACAGACGGCACTGCAGCACTGGTGGGTTGCCGTCTCAAGACGGCTTTTTTTTTCTGCTCGTGCGCGCCCCCTAGCGGGCACGCACAGGCAGAAAAGACCCGACCAATGCAAACACCCGTTACCGGGTGTTTCTCATATAGACGATCGGCGGCTCCATAGCGGCTCCTAGGGACCCCTAATGTCTCCATAAAGAGGACCTGTCAGTGTGCCTTTGCTATTATATAGGGGGATTATATTATACAAAATATGTAGCAGATGTGCACGGCAACCAGTCAGCCTCTCTTTCATTGTCAAATCTTAACTGAACGAACTGAAGAGAGAAGCTAATTGGTTGCCTTGGGCATCTGCTCCAAATTTTGTATGCTCCAGTTTTGATAAATCCTCCCCCCCTCTCCCACCCCCATTGTTTTGTCTGCAGCATAGGGGCAAACATGGCCTTTTGCCTGGAAAATAGTATGAAAAGGTTTACTGCACGCTGCTGACAAACAGGAAATGGGGGGCGATCGGCAGACCAACACTTTAATTTCATACAAATGTAATTCATACGTAGACTTTTCACTTTTATTGTCCTAAAACGTTGATGTACAGTGGATTTATTTCTTTTTGACACCGATTACCAGTAATAGACTATTCAATGCCATAGTGGAAACATATCTTTGTCTCTGAAGTGATCATTAAAACATATAAACTTATAAGTCATTTTATATATGTAGATATTGACTATAAAGTTATATATGTGTATTGAACATGCATAGTTTGGGATATAATAGTGAGGTTCCAAAAAAAAAGAGATTTTAATTTTTTTTTAGCTTTTCCTTGAGCGGGAGCAAGCAGCCCTGTTAGCGGAAAGTCAGACAGATGAGTTAATTAAAGAAGTTCCCGCAGCGCAACCAGACAAGAGTGGGCAATGGCAAGAGTCTGGAGGCGAGATCCAGTGGGTTTCAGCTGAAAAGAGTCCTAATGCTGAAGAGAATCCTAATCCTGAAGAACCCAAAAAGGAAGAGGAAGATGAAGAACTTGACCTTAATAAAGGTAAGGCTTTTTATAATTGAGATCACAGGGTGTAGTGTGATGTTATACAATTAAGTAAGCCAGGGCTCGAAATTTCAAGTCGTGAGCTTCGAGCCATGCCTTGAGAGTTACTCGCCACCAGTTGCCCCACCTAACCCTTACCCTGCCCCGGCTTTAACTCCGCCCCTAAATACACCCTCTTAAATAATCTTATGATAATTCTTATCTTATTATAGTTGCCGCTTGTAAACGGCAGATTAGGGATTTCTGCTGCAGGAAACCGCAAGTTCCTGACGCAGGAATCCCTAATCACACCTGAAATATACTATAGGTGTGAATTGGGGCCCAATATACACACACACCAAAACACAATAATACACTTCTCAACCCCC